CATATCGGCTCATTCCACGCCACACGTTAATTTGTAGATTACGGAATGGGACGAGTGTGCCAAATGGCATCGGATCCATTCGGCAATTGTCCGGAGAATAAAATCACGAGACACCAAGTCTACCCGTAACCTTCGTAATTGTCCGTGACCTATTCGACTCTTTCCGTTCATTTCCGTGACGTCACAGGAATGACTCGATAAATTAGCACATTGTGCAACAGTGTGGACGTAGCTCAGTCGGTTAGCTGTCGAGCTAACAATCCGAAGGTCGCGGGTTCGCGTCCGACGAGTTCTCACAAACTGGTTGCTTGTCTTAATGACATGTGACCTACGGCAGTGATCGTCCTCACGAGAAGTTGTGGTGCTGTATTCTAAAGGTGCTCCGTTTTTACTATTACGGGAATATCCAAAATCTCTTGTTGAAGACGGAATATATAAGCTTTACAGCTTAATAGAGACGATCTTTTGACAGGAACGATGAAACAAAAACATAATATATGTCATAACATGCACAGGCTGTAATGAACAGTATATTGGTCAATCAGAAAATTTAAGAGCCCGGGTTCGTGTCCACAAAAAAACAAATAAAGTGTCCTGAAACCCGATGTATCCCACTGAGTGAACATCTAGATGTCTGTGCGAAAGGAAACGATGTTAAATTTACAATATTTCCTTTTTATCAAGTTCAAAATTCGGACAAAGTAAAACGAATTTTAAAAGAACACTACTTCATAGACAAGTACAAACCAATGTTAAACCATTGCAAGCTGTGACCTTGTCGCTCTAGAATGTTGTCCCTATTATGACGTCACAATATATATGTAATGACGTCATACTGTAACCGCTACAATCTCCTGAAGAGTAAAGAACGAAACATGTTGAGAAAAAAGGCATTCTGTTTTTATTTATCTATGCAATATATATATATATATATATATATATATATATATATATATATATATATTTATATATTTGCCCTTGTCAGTATATCTAAACGGAACGAAACAAATAAAATACAAGGGGTGTATTTGTCTTAAACCTGCAAGTTTTATTTCAATACATATTTGATATATTAAAGGAGGAAATATGCACCATCTTCTTTCCAACAACTTTCGCAATATTCTTTCTTGTATACTTTTAATAGTTTATTCAAAAGATCTTCACATATCAGTAGACAAATCATGATCAGATCACCACTTTAAGCATAAAACTAACGATTTCTTGGGGAGGGAAATATTCAGTGGAAGGCAAATTATAGTTTGAAACCACCCAGACACGTTAAGACAAGACAACATTCTAAGTTTTCGAAGACTTCATTTATTACTAATGTGAGGACATCAAAAGCTCTGCGTGATGCTCTGTCGTGGTTCCTGAATTACACAGACAATCGGGTTAATGTTCACAGAGTAATATATACTCTATTGCCACGTTGCCTTGTGGTCGTTCTAAAAGAATCAGTTAGGCAAGAAACGAGATGTGTACATTGGTGCTGTGTTGTATTTTTTTATGAACGCCGAAAGAGGACAAATGTACCTTGGAATGTAATTACACGTGAAGAGCCGTTGAGCAGCGGAGTAAGTTTTGAGATACTACCTTTTCGATATTTAATGCTTATGCACCTGAAGAAATCAATTGAACACACACACAAACACAATGTTCATCACTGGATTGTCTGCTCCAGACTCGATTATTTACAAACCGCCTTCATATAAGTAAAATATTGCTGAGGCTTTAAACAACAAACCAACAAACCACGGCTGCCTTTAAGAGTGAGTGAGTTTAGTTTTACGCCGCACTCAGTAATATTCCAGCTATATGGCGGCGGTCTGTAAATAATCGAGTCTGGACCAGACAATCCAGGGATCAAAAGCATGAACATCGATCTACGCAATTGGGATACGATGACATGTGTCAACCAAGTCTGCGAGCCTGACTACCCGATCCCGTTAGTCGCCTCTTACGACAAGCATGGGTTGCTGAAGATCAATTCTAACTCGGATCTTCACGGGTCGTTGCCTTTAAGAGGTATGAACCACACAAACCAGGAGTGGAGAGCACGAACATCCATATTTAGTATTGGGCATGATGTTATGATTAGTCGACACCGTGTCTCATCTTATTCAGCACTTTACACTGGCAATATGTGATCTTATCACCCTGCAATGCTGCTAACCTTATATCCTTATTTGTTGTTAACATTCTGTCACCAGACAATACTGTTCATTTAGTTTTCAGTACCCAGCACCATTGTAGATGTGCCTATTGCATGTGCATTAGTATCATTATTGCAAAATATGAATTGTAACTTGTATACTGGCCTCTGGCCTATTCAGAAATAAATTCAATTCAATATAAACAAACACCATTATGTCTTTACAAAGCAATGAGTCGCTTCAGGATCCTTATTTTTGTCTAGATACTGAGAAATCCTTGTGTAAAAGTAATATGAAACATATATTTTATTTCTAAGTATGCGATGACCAATCCAAGTCTAATTGTTAACTCAACTAATGTAACTTTATTTTCAAATTGATAAGTGATACCTGTATTGAAGACACAAAGACAGCTGCGACCTTTCATTTTACACCTTTAAAATAAAGTTTTTGATTCTAAGATGCTTTGGTGAAGGATCAAAGGCGCTGACAGTACTTGATCAGCTTCCTCTTGCTTTAACTATAATAGTTCAGGGCGAAAGTGTGCTTTATTACACTATACATGGTGGTAGAGTGAACTGTATTTCTTAATTAAAATGCCGTGAACTCAGTTTAAGATACACTTTCAACATAAGCACTCTGATTACGTTCATGATTACGCGTCAAGGATATTTTTAAATTTTATATTTTGAGCTTATATTCAACCCAACTCTGCAAGAATACACATTTTTTGTCCATGAAAACAAATGACTATTTAGAGATTTAAAAACATTGCCTGACTAAATAACAAAAGTTATCGTATTGCGAATATTTTACTGCATGCACTGCTGCAGGGAGTGAGTGAGTATAGTGTTATGCTGTCTTTAACTATTTTTCAGCAATATCCAGGCGAGGGACACCAGAAAATGGCTTCACATACCGTATCCATGTGAGTGAGTGATTATGGTTTTACGCCGCTTTTAGCAATATTTTGGGCAATTTCACAGCAAGGGACACCAGAAATAGGCTTCACATGCTGTATCCATGTGAGAAAGGGAACCCTGGTCGTCGGTGTGACGAGCGAACGCTATAACCACTAGGCAAACCCGATGCCCCGTGTTGCCCATATTATCTTGTTTATCGCATCCAAGTTACAATTTATTCGAAAATTAAATTTTCCTAAAGGGACTGTTTACATTACATTGCCAACATGTTATCACAGCCAGAGCCACACTGCTGTCGCTTCCGTACTTTTGAAAAGCATCGTCTTGACGTTAAAGAGGAATAGCGAAGACGCTTATTCAAATCAATATACCTATCTTATTTCTATTGCATTAATAACAGAACCTTCTTATTTCAGGACCAATGAGACTATATTAGCTGTCAGATGTATTTATCTTCTTCTATATAACTACAAATAACATGAAGTGTCGTTTATGTTCAATCCTTGGAGTGTGAATTGCCTGACCTGTCTGGAGATGGTTCATAATTATACTGTTAATACTTCGCGTTTTAATGTCTGTATCACGAACATTGAAGAACACGAACACGTGAAGGAACCCAGATGTAATCAATCGCTTAAACGTAAAACCAGTTTATGGCGATGTCCTTGGTGTGGTCAGCAGAACTAAAAGATACCTGTTGAAAATGTTGGGTTAATGTGCTTGATATTCAATATTGACGTAGAAGTAGATTTCTGATAGTGGTGTCATCTCACCGTTTGTATGGTGCATTGTATTCTTTGACCAAGGAATGAGACAAACTTCGTTGAATGTTCCATTTTGTTGTACCGTTTGAATTTACTTCTAAAACAAAGTGTTCGAATTCTGTTGAAATCAAGCCATCCCAAGCGTCAGATTGGGCATCATTCAAAAAGCGATCCTGTAGACAGTGCATCGGGTTTCGTCATATCGTCAAACATATGTCAAAGTAATACGTTCAATAAATTTCAACAAATTGTGTTGTATCTGTATTGTTTTCGGGGGTAAGATGCAACGTCATGTTTGTACGGACATTGTACTTTTTCTGAGACATATAACTTGAACATATCCTTAGAGAAATGCCTCTAATACACAAAAACATGTGTATGTATAAAATATTCAAAGAGTATCAGACAGTGCAAAACACCCTGACAATATGGAATATTATGGTGCCACGTTGTCGCCACAAAGTATATTTTGTAACCGAAATTCTTGCCATTTCAATTCAGCATCACATCTTGAACGATTTCTATTTCAGCCTGATTCAATGAATGTCGACGCCACACTGAAAGACACTTTCTACGAAAACGTTGTTTTAGACACGCTGTTTTCACTAATTACATAACACTGTAAGAATATGTTAGGAACCAATGTTGTCAATAGTTTCGTGGGTCAGACATGAAGCCTACTATGTTCAGGAATTGTAACGTCTTATTGTCACTATGAGTCAAATGGGTACAAATGAAATTGAAAAAGTTGACTTTTTTCATCTTTGTTTGTTTGCATGACTGTATATTTGATTATATTTTCTTTTCGTTTTTTTTGTTGTTTTTTTGTTTTGTTTGTTTTTGTTGTTGTTTTTAATGAATATAAAACGTCAATGTAATATATAACCAGTCTCGATTACCTTCAAAACACCTTTTAAAACTATGATTGACACCTATCAAAAGGGAAAAGTCAGAAATATTTCCTAGATGAAATCCCATTCAACGTTTTTACAAAATTCAGATTGCAGCGCAGACTCCCATTCAGCACAGCACTCAATATCTCCCGTAAGTCAGAAAATCACACATCATTTATCTCTTCATTTATCAATGCATCAGAGAAAAGCATTGGAAGTAATATCGATACCATTTGTCCGAGATGAGTAATTACAAACTCTGATGGCTGTGATTCAAATAGCTTTATTGTTATCAAAACGATTCCACAAAAATATAAATACGCATACAGCCACTTTGAGCGTTGAAATGAGGGTATCGGTAGGAGTGGCAGTGGACCTGGAGACATGGAAGGAGACAGGTATCTTACTGGAGTGCTCAATGACTTCTCCAAGGTTTCATTCTTACAGGGGAGCTTTGACATATATAGCTTAGTGCCCCATGGCGTCTCCAAGGTTTCATTCTTAAAGGGGAACATATATACGAGTTGTGCTCAATGACTTCACCAAAGTTTTATTCTTAAAGTGGAAAAATTAAATATACAAACGTATTGTCCTCAATGACATCATCAAGATGTCATTCTTAAAGGGGAACCTTGACATATAAAAACATGTTGTGCTCAATGACATCACCAAAATGTCAATTTTAAAAGGGACCTTTGACATACATAAACGTGTTGTAATCAATGACTTCGCCAAGGTTTCATTCTTAAAACTTTGACATAAATAAACGCGTTGTGCTCAATGACTTGACCAAAGTTTTAACCTTAAAAGGGAACTTTGAAATATACAAACGTATTGTGCTCAATGACATCACCAAGATGTCAATTTTAAAAGGGACCTTTGACATATATAAACGTATTGTCATCAATGACTTCGCCAAGGTTTCATTCTTAAAAGGGAACTTTGACATGTATAGCAGTGTGCCCTATGACGTCACCAAGGCTATATTCTTAAAGGTGAAACTTAATGTCTGCTCAATTACTTCAATAAGATTTAGATCGTAAGGAGAACTTTGTAAGTTATCTTATTGTTGTGCTCAATGACATCAGCAAGGTATTATCCTTAAATTAGAACGATGACATTTGTATTATTGTTGTGCTCTGTAACCTAACAAAGTATTTTTTCGAAAAGGGAAAATGACGTTTACTTTAATATTGTACTCAATGATATCACCAAGCCTTTATTCTTTAAGAAACACTTTGCCATACATTGTGATGTTCTGCTCAATGACTTTACTAAGGCCTTATTTGTAAAGGCAAACTTTGTAATTTTTCGTACGTTTGTGCATAAGCGTTTCACCATAGAAATAGAAACACTTTGACAGTTATCATACTATTGTGCTAAACAATTACACCAAGCCTTGTGTCTTAAAAGTGGCATTTTACATTATATCTATGTTGTTCTTGACTATCTGCCAAATACAAAAGAACGTTGGCACTAATCCTATTGCACAGCTCTATGACTTCATCAAAATTTGAAATATCAAAGACTGTCATGTTTATGTTGCTGTTGTGCTCAATTGTGTTTTCTTTGGAAGACTTTAACAAATACCTTTTCTGTGTTCAGCTGTTTCATTAAATACTTACAGTACTTTGGCACTTCGGTAAGATATTATAAACCAAGGGGGGTTGTGACACGTAACTATCTGTTATTCGCCAAATACTTGAGGGAGACTTCATTAATTTCTTAAGAATTTGCTCTTTTAGGAGGGCACTAGCAATCATGCACATTTACGATTTCATTCCCCAAATCCTAACAATGACACTGATCAACAAATGTAATAAAGCCATTATCTTATTCTAATTAACACACCATAATGCCATATACTACACTCAGGTTTACAATGCTTTTTAATGTTGATGATAAGTTGAATAATAGCCTGTTTTTAACAATGCAGAACTTCCAAGTGAAGACTACTTATGTTTTTGGTCAAATTCCACTGAATAGTATAGAAAAATACAAAGATTTCCCCAAATATACGTATAAAATATATCTCCGAGAGATATGGGGTATAAAAAAGCATAAAGAATGTTTATGTATAATAATATTGAACATACTGAGTAGATTTAATAAATTTTGTATAATAATGAATAAAGTTAAAATTGTATAATGTAGTCTAGTACATAACATGAAGTCACACCTTTGAAGAAGAACCTTCACAGTCAGTTCCAATACCATTTACTTGCATGACTTGCATATAATACCCAATATAACGCACTCGGAAGCTTTTTTCTGGCAAAAGATATCATTCTGAGATGAGAAAAATTAGTATCACAATATGGAGTCATTTAAAGCGATTTTACAAATCCCTTTTTAGTTTTAAGGCGTTTGTAAAGCGAAAAGCAAGCGTTTATATTTTTAAATACCAGTGTTAACCTGCAAATCACATTTTTGTACCATGCTTGCAACAAATTGGGATTGTGAACTTGTGATGACGAATTATAAATTAATTCTAAACACGTCGTATCTGAAATGTTGTAATTTAATTGAACAATGCCATAGCACGCTGTCGTGAATGTTTTCCAGCTAATGGAAATTAAGAACCAAGCACAGAAAGAACATGACCTTATCTAATGTTCTTTGGTGGACCTGTCTGATGGTTTCGTGTTATACATCATTGCCAGCAGTTGTTGGTCCTGTGATAGGTGAATGTATATGGATTCATGGCATTGTTTGGAGGAGAAAGTACTTTCCTCCAGGGACTTTGTATTGAAGAACAATGGACAAGGGTTTCTCAGACACATTTCTCTGGAAGTGAAATGTGATCGTACAGTTGATCTGAGCCAGACATTTAATTATTTAGTAGAAAAGGTTTCTATCTTCAAATTACAAAGAGTCTGACACAGATTTTGACCAGATTATAAGCTTTCCATTACAAAAGATGTGTAGAACATTTCACACAGCAAAACCTCGTTAGTCCGGACTTTAGCTGTCTGAAACACTTTGCTCCGTATATTGTTGTCCGAACCTGTCTATTCCGTATTTTAATTGCTTAGACCTCTTAATTCTAGAATTCAAATATTCCGGATGGCCTAATTCAGCGTATCCAGCTTACTGTACATACAATTCCGGAATCTTTTTGTCCTGATCTCACTTTTCCGGGTTTTATTACTATTCCGAATCTTGACTGTTGCCGAATTTTCAGCTAGATCAGGATTTTCCGGATATTATTTTCCATGTCTCTTTCATATTTCTAACTTTAAACCATTACAAGTATGCTTGCTTACAACTGAAAACATTCGTGAGGTTTTCATCACATCACAGTCCGGTTTAACGGGGTTTGACTGTTCAAAGGACACGCAGGACATGTACAAAAATAGCAAGTGTAAATCAACGCATAATAAAAATATGTGTATCTAAAGGGTCATGTGCCTGACATGGGGTAGCTGATTGTATATAACACATACCAACAAACACGCTCACATTCACATCAAACATGACTGACACGTGTTCATAAACTTGTAAATAACATGATTGACATATGCATATAGCATCACTGGAACGCGTATGCAGCATGATTGGCACATGTATATAACATGGTTCAGAATGTATATAACATGAACAACATTGTACATAACATGACTGATACGTGTATGTTTTTAAACGTGCTTCTGTTATAGAGCTAATTTTAATAAGGCATGGAGAAAAAATTCAATTATGTCCATTTTTTCAACTTGTTCCAGGAATGTGACATATGTTATATTTGGGATTACACTTTCTTAGTAAAGTACAGATTGTAGTATTTTGGGGTTGAGTCCAATCTGGGATTCAGTCACCACGACTTCCACAAAAAATGGAAGTCGGACAACTGGTAGTCTAGACTGCGGACTTTGTGTACCCCTCTGATAAGTGTGAATTGGCACGGCTCCCACGGCCGAAAGCTATGATTACACAGTGCCATTTAGAAAGTGGTCAAATGTAACATATGTTATATTTGGGATTACATTTTCTTAGTTAAGTTCGAATCCCGGATGGGACTCAACCCAAAAGGTACTAGAATCTGTACTTTACCTAGAAAGTGTAATGCCAAATATAACATATGTCACATTTGACCACATTCTAAATGGCATTGTGTTCCAGGAATGTTCTGCCCGACACAATGCCATATATGTGCAACTATTTGTATTGGAATACAACATGTCCGTAAAATGCACTTCACTGTGAAGGTGTTACTTCTGATGCTGGACATTATGTTTCTTTCAAATGGTGCCGCTTCAACACTTTTCCTTAACGCAGTCATTATAAAATTACCAGTGTTGTAATTGAAATCTAAACTATTTGTTTCACCATGATTCACGATTAAGAATGTTAATTCGTTAATCCTTAAACTTTCCTATCTCAATCATTATACTAAACGCATACTTAACGAAGAAATACTCATATACCAAGTGTGTTCTGCATATGATGTTCACGTACTTGTGTATATCTAAACTTAAACTTCATCATCGTATTATATACGGATATAAAACCAGAGCTTTACATCAGAATACCTTCACGTACGCAGCTTAAAAATCATAATCAATAATGTTCATGAAAGGTAGTCGCGCCATCGTAGCATCCCACCAGTGGGTGGGACATCCTTACCGCGAGTGAGAATGATTTTACGCCGCTTTTAGCAATATTTCATCAATTAATAGTGAGTGAGTATGGTGCTTAGCCGTTTTTAGCAATATACCTGCAATATCACGGCGGGGGACACCAGAAATGGGCTTCACACATTGTACCCATGTGGGGAATCGAACGCGGTAATTTCTTAGCTACCCCACCGCCCCCATCAACTGATAAAGCTGGGACATCGGAAAAGGGCATCACACATTGTAATCTTACAGGGAAGCAAACCCGGGTTTTCGGTGTGAAGATTGAACCCTATAACCACTAGACCACCTCAACACTTCTTTACAATAGAAGAACTTTAAATTCTGAAAACGCCATGGGGGAAACGTTAAATAAATTCATACCATGAAATGTTACAAGTCATATTACATTTAAAACGATGGGTCTCCCTTAAAATGATGAATAAATTGTTTTCATGGCGACTAATCCACTGTGAAATGAAACTCGGTAACAGGAAACAAGACATTGGGAAATCGTTTATATCGGAGATATAAGGAAACAATATATTTAGACGTTTCCTTCAAGAAAAGCCACACGATACGTTCGTTTCCTCTAGTTCAGTGGCAAGGTAATGGTTTCTTGTGACAATCCTATTGCATAAAAAGTATTGCCTATTTTAGGAATAGGAATGAAAATGGTATTGTCCACAAATAGAGGGTGATGTTGTTGACCGGGTATGACGTCGTTACTGGTATCGATGCCGCTGTTGATGCGTGGAACCTCAGACTTAGAACCTCAGACAGTATAAATAACCAGTTAAATAACAGCTCCTGGGAATCATATAAACGAGATTGTGTAGAACCGGTAGGATCATTAGAGGTCGCTATCGAACGTTGATTACAACTGCGGCTTTTCTTATTGTGATATTAATGTGAGTAGTTATAACAGTGGCTTTCTTTTATCAGATAGTTATATCTACATATATGTCATCAGATAGTTATAATACTTGATTTCTCTAAGTCTATCTTACCGATAAGTTATAACACTTATTTTCTCCACATAAGGTTTTTATAATACTGATTCTCTGCATATATCTTATCAGGAAGTTATAGCGTTATAGCACTGGAGACGTCACATGTGTCTTATCAGGAAGTTATAGCGTTATAGCACTGGAGACGTCACATATGTCTTATAAGGAAGTTATAGCGTTATAGCACTGGAGACGTCACATATATCTTATCAGGAAGTTATAGCGTTATAACACTGGAGACGTCACATATGTCTTCAGGTATTCCAGTATTTGACTACAGTTTCCATGACTGCCGTTAACTGTGCCGTGATAATATAGCACAGAGCATACGTGCTATAATAATTAAGTGTGATATGACAAAATACATCATGGTGTGCAAATGCGGTGATATGTAACCTAATGGTAGCAAAGCACAAGTTTCCTTCTGGTGGCGATCGGTCCACTGACGTGACGGTGTAGAAGCAGTGGGAGCTGTGGTAATGTCACATTGCTTTGTCACGTACATGCAGGACTTGCACAACATACTTCCAACACCAAATAGACAGAACACTGGCATCGTTATTGCAGGGTCGACTCAAACACGTGTCACTTAGACGTCTCGTATTCCTCTACTTTCACTTTTGACGCCGTGTCTTCCTCTACTTTCACTGTCCTGCATATATTTATCTGAATGTTAACATTTCTTTAAAATTCAGGTCTTATCTTGGAATACTTTCATTAGGATTTCTAATCTGATTCAGGTAACATATATTTAAACTCCAATCATGTTCCATAAATCCACCACAAGCAGAACCTTCCAGTAATCTCCATTCAAATCCGAAGTGACACGATGACAGTATTCAAATTTCCCACGGTTTAACGTTTATCTTGAAAAATCCAAAACGTAATCCTTGTGAAAACCACTTACTTTTGTCCAATGTCCTTCTCAATCCGAACACCTTCTACCACGAAAATCCATTTGAGTTTTTCACGTATCCAACAGACAAGCATTTTCAGACATAAAGCTCTTCAGGCTTAGATTTCGTGGCTTTCAAATTAACGTGTGCATCATCCAGGTATCAGTCTCTGTTTTTAATGAAACCAATGTCCTTGTGACGGTTTACCAAAACTGTAAACGAACTATATTAGTTCCTCGTGGTTCTTTTTGAATTACGTTTCTAATCCCCGAAGAACCTTCCCGTCTTTCTGATAAATCTCCTGGTCATGGAATGATCTGAGACTTGGGTGAGGACCGTATTTGCCATTTGCGCAACGGCTTATTTCCAGTGAGATCATGGTTCTAGAATCCTCAGTATTCTTGACGTGTATTGTGTAGCATTTGCAGGTTAGTTGAAATAGGGAGTGGAGGTATCATGCCGCTCACGTCACTTCCGTGAAATAAATGATATTCGATGAGTGGATAGTACTTCCCCACGACTAGCTTTGTTAAAGCTGAGTCGTCGCCGCCCCTTGCTCTCCATCCCGCTCTTTTGCAATAATGTCGGAGGCTCTCTTTATTGCTTCTGCCACGATGCACTCTGCCTGCCCTGAAAAATAAATATAGACTTGACAAGATCTGTTGAATGTGTAAATGTAACATTTATTTCTCGCGAACTCGGATATGACTTTCCATTGATTAACTTCCTTGTGAACTTAAACAAGATGTAATGAAAAACGTTTTTCATGTCAAGAGATCCAGTGATTTAACAATTTCTAGGTGTATATTGGCGGACTGACTTACCAGGCCTGAATCAGGATGACAAAAGATAGATTTGGTTTGTTTGTTGTTTAACGCCGCACAGCTACATGGCGGTAGTCTGAAATAATCGAGTCTGGACCAGAAAATACCAGTGATCAACAGCATGAGCATCGATCTACGCAGTTGGGATATGGTGACATGTGTCAAGCCAGTCAGCGAGCCTGACCGCCCGATCCCGTTAGTCGCCTCTTACGGCAAGCATGGGTTGCTGAAGACCAATTCTAATCCGGATCTTCACGGGTGACAAGAAATAGTGCAGCACTATCATGGATGCACGTATTCCGGGTTCGATTCTGTCAGGTGACACATTTATGACCATCCGTTCCTCATCAGTCTTCTAGCAGGACCCTCATAGGATATTTGGAACCTGCCCTTGATCGGAATTGCTGGGGGTCGAGATACAAGTAATAAACGGGACTTAAAGGGGCACTAAGCTCAACAATCTGGTAGTCATTTTCGGTCTTGTTTATTTCTGTATTTACGCTGTACTCAGCAATATCCAAGACGGTGACCTGCCAATAATCGACAATCAATATTGTGAGCAGCCATCCAAGCCATCCAAGCCCTGGGGGTCTAATGACACGGTATCAACCAAGTCACCGCGTCTGGCCATCCGATCCATTTAGTGTGTGTGTGCGTATGCGTGCGTGCGCATGCGTGTGTGTGTAAGGAGAGAGAGAGAGACAGTAGGGTATTCTTCAACTGACTGATATACACCATAAATTATGAACTACTGAGAAACGAGAAGGGTTGCGAATAGAAATAATCAAATGTGCCAGAATTGCACTGACCGGAGCACAATCTTAATTTCAAATGTCAAAATAGGTATCATCGTTCATTGCAATAATTCAACGCATTTCTCACATATTCTAATATCAGCTAACGATAGTTCAGAGAAACATTACAGGCAATATATTTATACTAATTTATCCCAGTCTTTCGACAATAAGTATCAATTACTCCTTACTTACCAAACGTGGAAGCTTTGATTTCGTTTAGGTGAGGTGAGGTGAAATTGGGGTTTACGTCGTGCTTGAGAATATTTCGCTCATATGACGACGTGCATGCGTGTGTATGTGTATGTGTAACTGCTTGTACTAGCTGGTTTTAAGTTTTTAAGCTGGTTTTATAGTGCTAGCCCACTGAGATACCATACCGCAGAGAAGCATGAATACCCCACTCAGGCACATTATACTGACTCCGAGCCGACCAGTCCTTGTTGTACCCATTAATGCCGAACGCCAGTCAGGGCAAGTACCATATTTTAACGTCTTTTGGTATGACGCGGTCCGGGATCGAACCCGCGACCTTCCGCTCTCCGGGCGGACGCTCTAACCACTACACCACGGAGGCGGTCTTGATTTCGTTTAATTCATGTAAGTCTGAATGATCTTAAACAAACTTTGTCTCCAAATGTTACTCGTA